CTGGTGTATTGGTTTCGACTCAGTTGCTGGTGTTTTGGTTTCGCCTCAGATGCTGGTGTTTTGGTTTCATCTCAGTTGCTGGTGTTTTGGTTTCGCCTCAGTTGCTGGTGTTTTGGTTTCGCCTCAGTTGCTGGTGTTTTGGTTTCACCTCAGTTGCTGGTGTTTTGGTTTCGCCTCAGTTGCTGGGGGTTTTATTTTCTCTTGATTGCTTTTGTATCATTTCATTTGATGTTTTTTTTAAGCTGCCGGTACTTCTCAGTTGCTTTTAATTTGCGTTGTTTGTTTTTCACAGCTGCTGTGTTTTTCCTCAATTGCTGTTGTTTTGGTGTTCTAATGGAATTTACTGGTGTTTTTGCTATGTAGTATGCCTTTATAGCACATAACGTTTTATTGTCGGCTTTGCTAGCTATTCAACCAAGCCGTTATCCGGATTCCTTCCTGTCATTCAAATAAAACAGTAACAGTCTTATTGTGTCTTTGGTACCAATCACTGTCATCTCTGTATAATAAAACTATTAAATATAGTTTTTTTATTCGAGTTTAACCCAGGGGCCTTCTTGAATACTACTTCAAAAATTATAATTAGATCTAAGATCATGCATAAACACATTCTCTTCCGCCTGTTTGGCCTATTAAATTCTGTATAAATTCTGGCTTGTGTTTGTTACCGATGTCATCGAGACACTATATTATATTAAGGTCGTTCGGCTGAGCAGTCGACGCGCACATATCACTAATGTCAGTAAGTATGGTGCAACAAGTGCATCATAATGATATATTAAACTGTAACGCTATTTCGCGCCATAGGTAAGAAATTGTGACAGTTGCTTCCTATTTCCCCTATCCTACCTTTACTTGCATTTCGTCCTTGTGTTTGTATACATCGTAAAGCCTCACTTGACACCTCACTTTCAGCTGTATGGCAAAACGTTCACCCATATGAGGAAGACATTGGGTTCTGCACCAAGACTGGAATATGCCGAAGTCAATAAGACGAATTTTAGTATTCCCTGCTTCACGTTCAGCACTTAGGGCAAGCGAAACGACTTTTAAGTCGTTGTCAGAAAAAATGTGATCGTATGGAGTGCTATGGTAGGTGCCTTCGACATTGTATTTCATAGAGGTCATTTCCAGTTGCGCGCTATCACAAGGAGCCATATACACCCACAGACCGCCTCCAACACACACACATACACCATGTAGACAACCTTAAATGATCTAAGCTTAATAATAGGATACTAAACTTTATAAACGAAAACGCGGTACAATCAGGAAAATATTTAAAGCCGTTGTCCACCGATGATGGGTTCACAATAATTTACCATTTAACAGAAATTCCATAATATAGACCCGACAACAGGACACTCCACTCGGTCACATTATTCTGACAACATGTTAACCAGAGGTTCCAATGGCGATACCGCCGAAAAAAAGACATATGCAGGAGAGAATAAATGAGATAGACGTACATACATATATAGTGTTACAGTAGGGGCAACAGGTCTATGTTGTCCCTAATGTCCCCCTACCAGAATGCATAGAAGAAACCCTCAAGTTCTGCAGAGGCCTCCTGATAAGTCGCTCTGTCCGATCATAGTGTCGAGTGGGAAACAGCAGGTCTAGGTTTTCTCTGTATCAGTACATTGGCACTGTTGATATCATAAGTTTTAACTAAACAGGTCTACGTTATTGTTTATAAAAATCAGGTCCCCGCTATTATTTTATAAGTAACAGGTCTCCGCTATTATTTGTTAAAAAACAGATCTACGCTATTATTTTTATAAATAACAGGTCTACGCTACTATTTTATAAGCAACAGGTCTTCACTAAATTTTTATTATAAATAACAGGTTTCTCGCTATTTTTTTTTTTATAAATAACAGGTACCCACTATTATTTTTATAAATAACAGATCTCCGCTATTATTTTTTAAAAAACAGATCTACGCTATTATTTTTATAAATAACAGGTCTACGCTACTATTTTATAAGCAACAGGTCTACACTATTTATTTATTTTTTAAATAACAGGTTTCTCGCTATTTTTTTTTATAAATAACAGGTATCCGCTTTATTTTTATAAATAACAGGTCTCCGCTATTATTTTTATAAATAACAGGTTTTCATTATTATTTTATAAGTAACAGATGTCCGCTATTATTTTATAAATAACAGGTCTTCGCTATTATTTTCTTATTAATAACAGATCTCCGCTATTATTTAATAAATTACAGGTCGCCGCTATTATTTTTATAAATAACAGGTCTCCGCTATTATTTTATAAATAACTGGTCTACACTATTATTTTTTTAAATAACAGATCTACGGTATTATTTTCATAAATAAATGGTCTACGCATTTATTTTATAAGTAACAGGTCTACGCTATTATTTTTATAAATAACAGGTCTCCGCTATTATTTAATAAATAACAGGTATACGCTATTATTTTATAAATAACAGGTCTTCACTATTATTCTATAAATAACGTCCTTATCTTATATCTTTGTCGTCTATTCCACCAAAGTTAAGTTTTCATAGTTATTTATTCCTTTGTGAAATGATACACCCAAACTAGTCCGAATTATTCTGACGTTTTATCGACTTTTTTTTTTTTTATATCGGTCTGTCGTCGATTAATCGACGACAGACCGATATAAAAAGAGTCGATAAAACGTTAGAATAATTCGGACTACACCCAAACGTACGAATACTTGTGTGGAAAAAAAAAGAGAAATAATTAACTTATCCATTTTCCGTCACGCGAAGTAGAATTTATGGTTTTGGTGTAGGGTAAAAATACATAAAGGATGGTTTCGACAACAACAGACTTGTATACTGAAACACCAAAGAATTCTGTGTTTTATGTGTTTCTTTTTCTTCTTCTTTTCGTATGTTTTCAACTGCGAATACACGATGGTTTTGATTATATAATCTTGTGGTATACGAGATATAATATAAAAAGAACCCGGATGTTACATCTGCTGACCGATATCGCACTTTTAACAACAGACATTCAATTCCGGAAACAATCATTTTAGAACTTATTTGTAACCAGAAACTTTTCGAAAGATCGGAATAAACTAGAAATTATCAAGTATTGCAATCATATCAGAAATCTAGAACAATCTTAAGGATTACGTCACAAATGACTCATTAAAATTTCTAGTCCGACTCCTGTGACATAGTCCACTTGTACCGACATAACAGCACACCTCAGCAAACAAGTGTCGGGTGATGACGACATCACTCTCTATCTGACTCATCCGCATTTGTCTGGTGATAATCTATTTATAGAATACCCGTAATAACAGCGTGTCGAGGGAACTTTATCGAATGTCACATGTATGGTTGACAGAGTTACGTCCCTTATAATATTTCTCTTCATCAGTTCAACAGTAGCTGTTCACCCTGTTCTGTTCCATTATTTATTAGTGTTTGTGAAAGTTTTTGAATGTTTAGATTAATCAGTTTATATATATTGACTTATGTTTTTTTTTATTTGTTTGTCTTTATTTCCCCCTTTTTTTCATTTTCACGACAAAATGACGATATCTTGACACTGGAGAACGTCGTTGACAGGGGAAGAGCAACAACTCGATGAAAACTCTTCAATGTCAAAGAAAGCTTTGGTATTGAGGGGTTTATATTTAACATGGATATTCCTTTTTTAACTCTTTAAACATTCATATGTTACATTCAAATACCAAAGACTTTTATGACGACGAACGGGTACTATTTAAACGCATAAAATACTGACGTGTTAGTTTATTTTACATTTATAAGTACGGGACAATGTGCGATTTTAACTAAAGTTGGTCTTCGGGCTAAGGAAACTCATCATTGTAGATCAGAAAGGTGGGACCTCAATGCAGAAATTAATTATGCACAGCTTTGTTACTGAAAACCGGGTCCATGGGTCATATCTTAGAATCTCCCGTGACTTCCACCAAAAACAATATATGGAAACAGTTGAGATTCCCCATCTCATTACCATATTTACAATCGCATGACACAAAGAGAATTAAACGAAACACAATCACTCTACCATGATTGCTCAATCAGCTTTGGTCCTGTTCCTGAGAACTTAGGCTCGGAGTTATAATATTGAAACAGTTGAGATATCCATACTATAAGAATACACACATAATATACGTATCTCTACGACACATTTCTAGTACTTAAAAGAAGAGATCGATTAGTTTCCCTGGGGATGAGTCTCATAAAACGCGGAAAGAATCATGTGAGCGATACATATCCTATTTGCCTCTTGTTATGCAACCCGTCTTAACCGTTGACAACCCAAGCGCAAAATATCGCGAAAATGATATATTGTCGGATTTAAGGTCTTCCAAATTTGTTTTGGTCTCCGTTTAGTGTTTGGGGTTTAACGTCCTTCCCACATCTAACGTCTTTAAGGAACATGCGGATGCATCTCTGGAAAGAAAGTGTATAGGTAGAAGAGAAAAGAAAAGATGGAGTCCCAAGTCTTACAAGCAGGGTAGCTGACCATTGTGTGTTCGTGGCTAGTTTTATGTATTTGTTACAAGCTCCTTTGGATGACTCTGGAAGAAGCTTGCTTTGTTCTGTTACTACTAGAGTTGTAACCCATAGTAAGAACCGTAGTATGCATCTCTGTTGGAACCAGATTAACTAATAGATATGTTTTTTTAACAAGACTAACCGTAAGGTATGGGGTTCGTTATAAGTTTCCTCCCACATGAAGACCCCCGCGCGCTAATTAAAACATCCCGGCCATCAACACTGATTAATAATAATAACAATTCGAGGTTCTTATACACCGTTTCATCACAACCTAGATCGTAGGTCGTCTCAAACCGGTTCACAAATTATTATCCGCGGTTATATTTATATAAGTTGAAACGACTTTTTTCATAAATAAAACTCCAAAACAATCAACTAAGAGTAATATAACACGCTTTCGGATTGAAATAAACTCTCGGTAAAAAAAACTATCCGTCAATTAATATATTACTTGTAATTAATACGAAATACCACTCCCTACATATCAGGGGAGGTCCAATCATACATCCTGTACAAGGATTATCAAGTCTCTTTGTGATTTACTAAAGACAATATCCAAACAACTGACAATACGATAATTACAATAATTACTACCAAGCAATTAACTATGTGGCTATATCTTAATAGGATAAGTCTTCCACTCCGTGAGATTCAACAGAAGCAAAATAAAATTGAACCCATTTTATATACAAAAACATACCTTAAAACAACCAATTCCATTTGGATCATGACGTCAAATAAAGTAAAAAATACATAAGAATAAATTAATATCAACATTTATTGTAGGAATACAACTTGACACACTCCTGATGTACCTAGTGGAATGCTGTGGTCTCGACTAGTACTGGTGAACATGCTTCAGCGGCTTCTCTCTATTATATAATACATTACAGAAACAGGTGTGGTTCGTCCATTTTCAGAACTAGGTGTTACGAACTATTTTGTAAAAGAATAGATCAATATTGTTAAACTAATCAGAAACACAGAGGAATCTGCTTAATCAAGTACAGTGTTTTAAAAGTTACTTTGAGATGCCCCAAGATGTATGATTTACTTAACAATTTTGGTATTAATTTTTGGGTATTTGTCCAGAAAATTATATACACACTTTAACTCACTTACACTCTACTTGGATGAAAGATATAATTTCATTGTGCATTAATTGAAAAACCATTTCAAACATTCAGCAAAAAGCAACAACGCAATACTTATAACAAACTCCAAAACAAAAATATACTACATTCCATATATACAAATAGCAAACCTTATAACAAATCAACAATATCTATACTGAGCAAGTCTATGGGACAAATCAGCACAGTATATACAATTTCAAAATACACATGTACAGACTGTGGAGTGGGGATCTGTGCCACACCCTGCAGAACAATGAGCATGGTGAGTTAAAAATTACCTGCAAAAACATTAACTGCAAAAATACAAACATTAAAAGAATTGTACATAAATATATTACCTTAATGATATTGTATCCTTGATACTCGAGGGGTTGCGCTTACTTTCACTTTCTGCACAGAGCACAAGGGAGCGCAACCCCTAGAGTATGGAGGTTGATGATTATGTGGAGAACTACAGATAGCTTATTGTATGATGTTAGATTGAATATGTAACTTTGCATTATACTGCGGTTCAAGCCCTAAGATCAATCATTTTGAGTGCCTCTAAACTCAAACTGGAGGCATGCAGTCACGAATATGTTAGTGATAGTGATATCAGGTACACTGTAACTTAAAATTCATTACACCATTATTACATGTGACCTACACTAGGTTTCTACTGCAGGTAGGTCATAAATTTCCACTTAACTTTGGACATCAGGTCCAGGTATCACAAAACTTCTAATTAAACTCTAATAATCTTCCAAACTTCCAAACCTCACATTTCCTCTCATATATTCTATAGTAAGATTTTCTGCTATTCATCAGTTGCTTCAAGTCAAAAAGATTTTTTTTTAACATAAATATTTTTCTACTACAATTGATGAAATATAGCTCTCAAAATTGAAAATTATTTTGGGAATCAAGAAGGTTTATAAAGTTAAGACGCTTTGCGATTCTAAGGCCTCATGGGTCCACCACTGTATTTAACCTCCAATAAGTTTAAGCCCAGAAGTCAACACACAATCTGTCTCAAATTATGGTTCTTAAGATTCTGGTTTTACTCCCCTATGGTGACCCCAAACCTAACTACATGTGTACCTGTTGATTGTCTCCCCCTCACCCCTCACCCTAACACTACCCTGAACCCTAACCCTGATCCTGTCCCTCCTGATCATAAATATACATGTACATTGCCTTTCTGTCTCACATATATTATACTGCATGTACATCATTTGTATTACCTATATAAAATGTTGCTACTTCAAACATTCTCTTAAAAAAAAATTCTTTCAATGTCAGTGAGCTCTATATCACTCTCACTACATGAACAGCAGCCTGTTGGCCCTAATCGCCCATCTAGCCTACACCCTCTTCATTTCTCCTTCAGCTACTGCAAACTGTCTCAATTATTCTGTGCTTCTCCACATAATCTTATTTACTATAGCCATATCAGTCTATATCTGTCTGTCCTGATCAACTTCTCATCCCATCTGTGTACCCTTGTCCTCAGACGGTTCCCCCACCTCCTCTCCTTCCTCTAGCACCTCCTCAACAATATCCTCTGCTGTGATGATCTCTATACATTCCTCCACAACTTCCTCTTCTTCCTCGTCCATATGTTCTATCACCTCAGCTTCTAGCACCTCTACCTGGTCCTTGCTGATTCTAACCGCTGCCCGCTCCACTGTCCCTTCATCATCTTCACCCTCTTCATGAGTTTTCTCATGGGCCTGCAAGATGGTCTTACGACTGAAGCCCAGGCCACAGTACTTGCAGCGGAACGCCTTCATTCCTGTGTGTGTGCGCATGTGGGACTGTAGGTTGACTTTTTGACAGAATGTCTTATCACAGAACTCGCACTTGAAGGGGCGGTCTCCTGTGTGTATTTTAATGTGGCGGTACAGGTCAGAAATCTTACTAAATTTACGATTGCATGTATCACACACAATGTCCCCTGTGTGGACCTTAGCATGGGCATTCAGTCGCACAATGTGATCAAATCCCTTGAAACATACACCACATTTATATGGAGAGTCATCGCTGACGTGGATCTTCATGTGACGTCGAAGGTTACCGCTTTCGTTGAAACCACGCGTACAAATTGGACAGCGGAATGGTTTTTCTCCTGTGTGTATGCGGCAGTGCATGCGTACCTCATACCTATGTGTGAAGGCCTTGCCACAGTAGCCACACTTGTAGTTCTTGTCCATGGTGTGCGACTTGAGATGACGGTGACAGTTGCTCTTGTTGTTGTATTCTTTACCACAGATGTTACACTTGTAGATATACTTAGTTTTAGCTGTGCCCTCCTGAATCTCTGCCTCAGCCTCTACCTCCATCTTGGCAGGGATGTCAGAATCTGCATATACTTCCTCTGATGGGGAAAGCTGCTGTAAGTCTGAACCAGGCATAGCTGGAACAGCAGCAGGGGGTGGGAACAAACTTTCGTCAATTTCTGTCGTAACATCTGCAATAGTCAGCTCGATGATGGAAGCTTCCTGATTAGGGAATTTAAGACCAGGAATAGACTTGTGGTTTTTTCTCTTCATATCATCAGGTAGGTTCTCAAATACTGCAATCTGTCGGAGTTCTGAGTGGGTGCGGAGATGCGAGGCGAGACTGCCCTTCTGGTAAACCTTACCACAATGACAGCACATGTAAACTTTCTCTCCTGAGTGGCATCGGATGTGGTTTGTCCAGTTAAGCTTGTTCTTGTACACCTTACCACAGATGTTACATTTATGGAAGATGAGTTGAGATGCATCACCTGCATTAAGTACCACTGTGCTCTCATTCTGAGTCTTGATGTTGTTTTGGATGATCTTGGTGCCATTTGGGAGGTGTTTGCTGGCAGATATTCTGAGTGGATTACGACGGATGTCCTTGCTGCTCACCTGGATGGCCACATCATACAGTCCCTGTCTGGTAAACTTGGGGAAGCATGTGATCTGTGTAGCCACATCTCGGTATTGCTTGGCCTTGATGGACATCATGGCGGTCTGCATACTGGAGTCACGTTTGTCTGGCCTCTCATGGATGTAAAAAGTCCCATCCTCCAAGGAAGCCATGTTCTGGTCACTTCCCTCCTTATTTGAATCCTCCACCATGTACAGCTGGATGGTACCATCCTCCAGAATCTCAGAACGGAGATTTTGATAGTTATTTGGTGGTAGACCGTCTATAATGATCTGTTTGTCACTTAATGCCTCCTCCAAGTGCTGTAAGCTGATGCCCTGTAGTACATTGGTTCCATCAGTGACAATCTCTTCCTCTGCTGTCTGTGTGGCATGTATCTGGACAGTCTCCACCAGCCGCTCTGTTTTCGGTTGTACGACTTCCACCACCTGTTTATCTCCCTTGTGGTCGGTGATGATGACAGGCATCTGTGTGACACCCTCCGACTCTCCCTGTATATCCATCACTGTGCTTGGGATGGCTACAGTCTTCTGTTTATCAACATTCAGTGATGGGATCTGTATCATCTGTACCTCAGACTGGATGTCTTTGACTGTGCTGGGAATCTGCTGTTCTTCACCTTGCATGTTGATGACGATCTTCCCCTGTTGTTCATGAGCCGTGTTTGCGAATTCCAAAAGATGTTCACTTGCCTGGAGCTCGCTGAGGGCCTGAGCGAATTCCATCATATTTTCCCCTGCCTGCACTTCGTTGATGTTGTAGGTCGTCATCATGGCCTGATCGTCTGAGGATGTGGCGGTACCATCCTGGATCTGCATGATAATGTTGCCAGTCTCATCATTGGTGATGTTAATGATGCCCCCTGCAGCTTGTGTCTCTGTGACCTCTGACCCGTCAACTTGTTCCAGGATTATCTGGGACTCGCTCAACATCTCCCCTTCCATCTCCACCACTGTCGGAATCTCTGATTTTTCAGCAGCCATGATCCCTCCTGACCTTTAGCAGTCGATCTGAAACACCAGAAATGGTTGATAAATATTTCGTAGTATATTTTCACAATCTGTACAGTGATTTTAAAGAAGGTAAATATATATATGTTCAATCACACTTATGATGATTTTTTTCAAGAATTTTCATTGAGTTCATTATAAAAAATACCAATTTTGGGAATGGAGGGGTAATACATAATTGGTTCTCTTATTTGTTAATATAATCCTAATATTTGTGTTAGAGCTCAATATAATTTATCAGATGTCCGTTCCAACAATTCTGTGCTGTACGTATACGTCTTTGTGCAATGGAAACCTCTTTAAAAACTAACAGATACGCATATACAGTACTAGTCTCAAGCTGAATCAAATTTTGAAATGTATTAGATTTCTGTGGCACTTGCTTGTATCCTTAAATGTATCACTGTTGTCAAAAGTGCGGGGGAAAAAAAATCAATATTAAGTATAGGTCATTTCTTTAAAAACATTGTTTACTTATCTAAGGCATCTCTCAAAGTACTTCTTTTTATTTACTTTGTGTACAAATATACAGAAAAGATGAAGGAAATACAAACATACCCTGTTAAATAGAGGTACCTACACTTTACAACATAAGGAGTATAACCTGTGCCAACATTAACCAGCAAACATGTAATTGACTGAAGTACATGGTGAACCATACAGACTGATGCAGTACTGGCAGGCCTAATTAGATGTCCAGCTACAGAACATTCAATGTCATATGCAATTAAGGATCCAGGTCCCACTAAACTGCCATTTGTTTCTCTAACCTCCCCTTAACACGTGTTTGGCTAGAACTGTTGCATATTTAAGCTTACTGAGTATACACTTCTGCTCTCCAGGTAGCTCAAGTGGTTTCAGCGATGGTACATTATATATGTTTAACAACCTTATGTCTAGGGTTCGAATCCTGGTTTGGCCTTGCAGAACATTTTTACACTCAGAACACGATTGTTGATTATATTTTGTGTGTTTCATCATTATGTTTTCATTTAAGTTCTGCAAGTATGTATGTACTTTTCTTTTCAAAAATAATTTATCAAAGCTATAGTCATGCTGGAAAATAGGTGTTTAATGCGTAGTTCAATTTTTTGTGCAATTTGTGATGCAAACACTCATGAAAATAAATTTTATTTCTCAGCTGGGATAAAACATTATGTACGAAAATTTATAACCTTGCTCACTTGAGCACTTTTTTTTCGAAAAAGCTCATATGAGCAATTCTGCTACTGCAAGAGCACACAAACATCTCATCAGACGTGTGAGCAAATTTTAATTGTGTTAAGTGTAAATTTGTTCTGCAAGTTTTGTATTTATGGCCTCGCAATCTGGATGATGTATCTAATCAAATTTGTCTTCAGTATCTATATCATGAGAATTGTTATAAAATGCAGACAAAGTATCTTATTTGCATTTGTACATATATCTTACCATTATGGAAATCATAAAAAAGGTCATAAGGTTGTTAACTGATTCCTTATTATGCACATGTCACCCGTTTAAGCAAACTATTCACAGGTATATCTTCCTCGAAAAAAAGAGGGATCTATATAGGTATTTCATACAGGCTCATGTCAGTGTATATAATATGAGATCATTTGGGCTCATAACTTTTCCTCAACATGATAAAAATAGTGATTGTTTGGTATACCCATGTCAAAAACAATGCCAATAATGACCTTTGCAGAAATTATTTGATGAAAAAATTGTTGACTTTGTCAGTAAAGTACCGTTTGAATGCAGAATTTTAGTGGAGCAAAATTGCAAAGAATAATGAAATTAATGAAAAAACTTACCAGTATATGCATTTTTTTTATTTCAACAAATTTTATTGGACAAAAAAAAATGAACAATTGGATGAGACAACACGCTTATAAGTCAATATAAGTCTTCTCCTTTCCGGTATAGATGGACGAAAAAGCATAAATTTAATACATAGCTCAACAAGACACTCATATACACTTACAAACATACATATATGTACATGTACATGGCTACATGCATTCCTGAAGTATCCATGTATTGACTATTATTGAGAAAAATGTGTCAAATCTCTAGAATAATGGCATATACCTCCACTGAATAAATCACAACTTAGCATAAAGCCAACAAGGCTGACTGAAGTTGGAAAAAAGCATGCAAAGCAAGTGCGATTTTACATGTACGCCATTCAAAACACTGCAGATTCTTATATTACTCAGGTAATCTGGCTTGACTTGTATCAATAGCCTTGTTAGCTTCATGAATTATTGTAAAATATCCAATGAAAATACATGCCATCATTCTTGAGATTTGAAGTATTTTCTTACATTTTTCTCGATAATAGTCAATACAAAGATACAGGAATGCATGCACAGGTAAGTGTTTTCATTAATTATAATATTCAATGCAATTTTGCGCCACTCAAATTCTGCATTCAAAAGCTACATTTCAGACAAAATCAAGAATATTTTCGACAAATAATTTCTGCAAAGGTCATTATTGACTGACATGGGTAAACCAACCAACTTCCATATATTTGCATTTTGAGGAAAAGTTATGAGCCTATCACATACTATATACACTGACATGGGCCTGTTTGAAATACCAAACACTTATCATGCATGGCTTTATTGAATATAAAAATATAGTGATATTTACAAGATAAAAGAAACTTTATTTAACGTCGCATATATCAAACTTTTGCGACAAACTTGATAAAAAGCAAACAGAAACAACAAACAAACTATACACTATCACAAAAATCTAGCACATAATCAGAGAGTAAAACATACAATATCTTAGCAGCATAAAGGCTGAATTATTCTGACGTTTTATCGACATTTTTTTGTATCGGTCTGTCGTCGATTAACATCGTTGATCGACGACAGACCGATATAAAAAAAGTAATTCGGACTAAGCAGCATATAATTAGCTATCACAGGCACTAAATTTAATTTTTGACCACTCCAAAAGAACAGAAGGCATCAAATACATCGACCATAATAAAACGCAGTTGGTAAATAAACTTTACAAAGTTTAGTGCAGAAGCCTAATAAATACAACACTTATACTACTGCTGTGTATTGTACTCTACAGGTTGGGCACAACGGCGCATACGGGTAATAATCCTGCATTTGGGTAACAGTTAACCATTTGAGCAGAGACGTATAATACATACGTCTCTGATTTGAGTAATAATTTTATTACTGAAATGAAAAACAATGATGTCTAAGTTTTTGTGAAAATGACAAACCATGCCACTGACTTCGCTCTCCATTGACTTCAGTGTGTAGGCAATGGGATCATTCAGTGCAAATGTGACAGGTAAGCATGTTTTATTTTGTGTGTGCTTTTTATAGCTACTCGACAACACACTATAGTATAAGCAATGGAGGTGATATACTTTGTCATGTTGACAAAAATTTAGACAACTGAATAAACATATTGTTATGCACAATTATTCCCCATTGCAGTAATAAAATTGTTACTCAAATGGGTAACTTTTACCCAAATGCAGGATTATAACCTATATGCGCCGTTGTGCCCAACCTGCTCTACTGTATCTATTATTCTATCGGCTCGTTCATATTACAGTAGAAAACTGTAGAATGCCAAACACATGTTGCTTTTGTCCTTATTATCTTATTAAGACCTAGGAGTCAGAATCTAAATTATATGAAATCATATACCCCATCAATAACTTTCAGGAAAAGACAAATCGAAAGTAAGACGAAATGAAAACGCTTTACACTCGTAAATCTTATTCAACAACATTATTTCCAAGCGCATGTCTAACCACTGGTTATCAAACGGAAGCTTGGACACCGTTCCGATATCTCAGTGCAAAGCTTCTAAGTGAGAACCCTGGGTTAGTTACACGCCATACATATGTAAGGTGAAAATACATGACCATTTGAAGAAATTTGGATAAATAATGTAAAAGTGACTTACCTCACCACAATAAAATGCTAAAAGAACTGGAAAATCTCATTTGTCCATGGATATTCTATCAAGAAAAATGGCGGTCTATGCTGCGTTCAAAGGGCAAATAACTCCACACTAAATTCATAATGTTGTAAGCGATTAAGCGATTTCATAAAATCTTTCTTAAAACTTTTCATATTCGTTTATATAATGAACCAAAACCTCGATAAAATAATATTTATACTTTTCCTGGTCGCCGAGGATATATTCTTCCTATTTGTGAATGGCAATTTTGAATTATATTTTTGCTAAGTCGCTTACAACCCTAACGTATTGTGTATTATTGCGCGGGTCCATGGTCGCATTCCCCTTCGCCATTTTGAATGCATCAGAATCAACCAGAAGCTCAAGGTTCTCCGTTTTCAATGAAAGAAATTGAAACATTTCAATAATTGATGGTAAAAAGTGTGTGTATACTAGTTTCCTTCAATTACAAAGATATTTTATTGATTTTATTTTGAAAAATGAGCATGTTGAACTGTTCCCTTTCCCCCCGTGTGCAAGGTGCCCGCTCATGGAACATGGTGGCAGGATCTTGAGTATGTTTGGATTCTTAATCTCGATCGACAAATCGTTTGCAGCAACTCATTCTTGTAGTCTAAAACGCTTGAATGTAATGAAGTTGTATTTTGTCGTAGCATCATCAGTTTTGTATAAGAGAAAGACCACTCGCTTTTTTCACTTCCTTCATTAGTAACTGCTAGCTTCGTTTCCTAAGACTAACAACCATCACAAACAAATTATTTATTTCTGAAAGCATTTTGGGGAATCCGTCACGAACGTTTTATCAAACTAAATCGATTAATTGGAGTTTAAGAAGCAAGATAAATAAACAGTAGAGTAGGTCCAAATCTGAACGTGTTCTATACTATATATGTAGAATGATATTTTATCAAGTTTCAATAGGTAGTTGTTCTGAACATGTAAAATGTACCTGTTACACAGGCTATATGGGTTCAAAACCTGTATAACTGTATAAGGGAGGCGAGCCAAAGAATTGTCCACGTTTGTGAATTGGCCTACATTACTGTGTACTCTAAAAAGACTGTCAAAATTTCAAACTTTGTTTCTTCAGTTTCTGCTTACATCAATGCAGATTTAACATAAAGTTTGGAAATGTGGCCCAGTAGAGGACTACTACCAGGCATTTCTGATCATGATGTGGTCTTCATGGAATTTTTCAACCCACCTTAATGAATTGGCCAGAAGCCTCGAACTATCCCCCTATATAAAAAGGCAAACTGGGACACCATCAGAAAGGAGCTGACATCTCTGGCTAACGATATCATCAATAACAAAATCTCAACTGTAGAAGGTATTTGGCAGACCTTTAAAACAACTAAATTCTCTGAAATTCCAACATGTCCCGCATAAAACTACTAAACCCAAAGATAATAAACTGTGGGTAACATTTGAAATTAACAAACTAATAAGAAGAAGGGACCGGCTTTACAAGCAATGCTAAAAAAACAGATCCCCGGACACAATTGAAAAATTTAAAGACATAAAACATCTCGTTTGTAACTAATCCGGAAGTCCTACTGGGAATACATAGAGGATATCATCATCCCCAGCCCAATCACGAAGAGTTCACCGAAATGAAAAATGTCTGGACGTTTATAAAGCATAAATGCACAGACCACAGTGGTATATCATCCCTGAAACAAGACGTCCTAGGCTTCTTGAGACTGATAACGTTGTTAAGGCCAATATACTTAATAACCAGGTTCAGTCCGTCTTTACCAGTTCAGAGGATATAAACCCCGCAGTTCTGGCAAACAACTATTCCAGTAAAAACCACTCGCCCTGTAATGCCTGACTTCGAATTCTTCATTACAGAAGCAGGCATAACTAAACTCCTGTCCAAGCTTGACGTCTCGAAGGCTGCAGGTCCTTATATGGTCAGACCTAAAGTAATATGAGAGCTAGCGCCAGAAATAACCCCCATATTATGTCGCCTCTTTAACCATGCATTCTCTTTATACTGGCGAGGTCCCGTCTAACTGGAAATTAACTAAAATTGCCCCGATTTATAAAAAAAGGCCCCAAGTCATTGACATGTATCGCCTGTAAAATTCTAGAACATTTCGTTGTCTCGAATATTATGAATAATGCTGATAAACATAATATCTTATATCCCCTACAGCATGGCTTTCGTCAAAAAAGATCTTGTGAGTCCCAATTATTAGAATTTATTGACAAAGTATCTAAAAATCTCGACATGGGCAAACAGACTGATGTATCAATAATAGATTTCAGTAAGGCTTTTGATAAGGAACACTAACACTTGGATTCAAAATTTCTTAACAGGCAGGTCCCAAACACTGGTCCTGGAGGGCGAATCTTCTAACACAGTCCCCGTTCAGTCCTGTGTGACCCAAGGCTCAGTACTGGGACCCAGCCTATTCCTATTTTATATCAATGACATAGTAGACAGTATTAAGTCAACTGTACGCCTCTTTGAAGAAGACACAATTATGTACTTAACAGTTGCATCTACCTCAGATGGCGCATCCCTGCAAAGAGACCTGAATTGATGCTCTTGCAAACTGGGAGGGTAAATGGAGAATGGCTTTTCATCCCGGTAAGTGTCAAAGTCCTGTCAATACACAAACCAGGAAGCCAATACTCCACCAGTACACGCTGCACAGCCAAGCACTAGAGCATGCTGATCAGGCGAAATACCTAGGGGTTACTATTACCTCTGACCTGAAGTGGGGCGCCAACATTAGTAACATTACTAATGGTTCCAACAGTTCCCTTGGTTTTCTTGTGCGAAACTTGGAAGATTTCCTCTTCAATCATAGGTCAAGGGAAAAGCCTACAAAGCTCTAGTGAGGCCTAAGCTTGAGTATATGCTAGTGTGGTCTGGGATCCATACCTGAAGAAGGATATAGACCAAATTGAGAAGGTCCAGCGATAAGCTGCCCGCTTTGTCGCTAATCGCCACAGAAATACCTCCAGTGTGGGAGCCATTATCAATGGCCTACAGTGGTGAAGCTTGGCAACTCGTCGCCGTGACGCCCGCCTCACTATGCTATACAAAACAGCCAACAACCTTATCTCTGTACGTTCCTCTGATCTAATTCCGGCTGTCAGACCTTCATAACACTGTCATCACCTTTAATTCCAAACTCTTTCCTGTAAAACCACTGCTCGGAAAGCTTCTTTCTAAGAACAATCTCTCAGTGGAATTCTCTCCCTCCTAACTTGGCATCAAGTGCTACACTATCTTCCTTTAAATCTGCCATTCCTTTAAATATACTGATTTAAACTTTTTTCCCCCCTGTCTGCTCATATACATGTCACTTGCATAATCTTCATCCTGTAAAAAGTTTCACTACTACTACATGAAGTAGGCAAGTATATGGTAAAAGAGGATACTTTTGTGTTGGTTCATTGAAGCGTGAAACCATCAAGGTCCACTCTTAAGGCCTATATCATGACCAACATCCCCGGGTATACTCATTTAGTTTAGGTTGACTAATTGATCTTGATGAAAAGGGAAATTTTACCTCATTTTCAATAAAAAATCAGCAACCAAAGGTCATTCAAATTAAAACTCAAACTACATTAGGGATACATCTGTAACAGGAGATAGAAATGCAACGGACTGACCACGTTTGAACCCAGGACCCTCCAAACTCTAGACGGATACTCGATACTCATTAGAGAGCTACCTGGTCGCTAATGATCGACTCAGTCAAGTTCCACTACATTCCTCCCTCCTTTTTCTAAGTCTTTGCCCTCCGAAGACACAACCCAGATTTGGATATCCTCTTGCTTAGTATTCACCCATGGCCAGTGCATGAAACGAGTTGGCAAGCTTGCCAATATTGTAACAGGAGAAAGAGAAATGCAACGGCCAGACCGGGGTTTTAACTCGGAACTCTAGACAGATGCTCTACCAGGTTAAGAATGTTATTGTTGCTATATATATATATATATCAACATTTAGAATTCAATGTGTTATTTACAACAGCAAACATTTTACATAACTAATAATTAGAGTTCCATATGTATACAGAAACTACACAAATTATCATTACCATTAAAATTAGAACATGTTATACAATATTTAATTGTACTGTATGTATTTAAAAATTATATAATGTATGTTCATAATCATATGTATCTGGTTTAAGGATATAATACAATTTCTAATTACACAGACTGTAGAGCGCTTTATATTAAAAAAAGATAGAGAAGAAGAGCAGGGCATTGCAAAGATTATAATTTTTGTTGGTACCTATATAAGTATTATTAGGGTTAAAACAATTCATTGAATTGCATCGTATTGTGATACTTCCTTTTGTATCATATCCCCAATATTAAACAAAAGGATATGAATTTTGGGTACCAAACATGTGCAATAACATATGGTATTAATATCTATTTCTGATTGATATCAATATCATTTTATCAGGTTCATATATATACTATTAAAAAAGACAATTTTATAAAATACTTCAACAATATCTTAAACTATTTATTTATATAATTTGGATGCAAGTTATATATTTAATTAGCTGCCATGTTTCATTGTTAGTTCCAAATCATGCAGGTTGGCTAAGAAAAAGAATTATGCAAACCAATTAAGATATATATTTTATGTTAAAAATATAATAATTGTTCAAATATTTATTAATCGAAACACTGTTTATTAGTGACAAAAGTGTAGGGCATTCGCCTAGGGCTAATTTAGAAAAAAATAATATTCACCTGAAAACCATTGTACATGAATTTTTAAGACTGGTTAATGTTAATATAAGAATCTGGCCAATGGGATTGCAAGAAATCATCAAGTGTATATATACAGTGTATATATACATGTCTAATCACATTCCTTCAGCATAAAAATGTTCACACAGTAATAAATGATTAAATAGTCTATATAGTCAAAACACTTAATGTCTATTTATCAAACAGAAATGAAAATTAAATTAATCTGACAAATCATATAAATTACATGTACATTTGATTGTGTTTTGCAGATGACTCATGTACAACACTGATTTAAAAGACACAACCATCTAATTGAAAGAATTTGAACCATTAAGAATGTCGGAGGAGGTTCAGTATGAAATTTTGGGGTCAACCGAGGCCCTAATGCAGACGATGCTCACCCCTGGGGCTATCCAAGAGGTCGCAGAGGGGGAGATATCTGTTGGAAACCAGGAGATCATCATTGATGGGATGCCCCTCCAGATTCCAGCAGGTAACTACAAGACTGAGGTGTTGGAGGACGGGACAGTGCAGGTGATAGTTTATCAGGATACCCAGGAGGAACAGGAACCAGAAGCCCCAAGATTTGCAGAGTCGGCCATACAGACTGACATTGACATTAGAAACAGACGTGCACACAGCATTGGGATACAGAACACAACGGTCCCACAGTTTAATAGTTACAGCTTTGCAGAACATGGGGTACAAACAGATCCTACTCCTGATGAGCCACTAGTAATTGAACCCAACTACAGCATGCCTGCCGAGTTAACAATTCCAGAGGATAATGACGACGAAATAGATGAGTCATTAATTGAAGAGGAAAACGAGGAAACAATAGGAAAGAAAAGAAAAAGAGGACGTCCTATTAAGAATCCACGGGTAATACAGAATATTCACACTAATGAGGAGAACAACTCGGTGAAGGGACTTCGCGCAGGCAAGGAAGTAACCTTCCACAAATGTGGCATATGCGGAAAAATCTACAAAAACAAAACCAACTGGATGACCCACCTCAAAGTCCATTCAAAAGAACAGGTTTTCATGTGTGGATACTGCGGTCAGCTGTTTCAGCGTTACAGTTTTGTTGCTCACGTTAAAAGTCACCAGGGTGAAGAAGAAGCTAAGGAGGAAGCTGCAAATGCCCAGAAAAAAAATGCTGATGCTGAGGCAGTTACTGCTGCAGCTGCCTCAGCAGAAAGTCAAACAGTAGCTACAAATGTCGACGAAAATCAGGAGTTTGATGTCACCGACGAGAATGGGGAAAAGCGATACATGGTACGAAGCCATCAAGTGACGCTGCCCAACCAGCAGGTGGCCACAGTTATTGACTTGGGCAATTTAATCGATGTTGCAATGAATGCAGAGGTGACATCAGATGCTGCAGATGGTGCGGATAAGGGAGACAACTTGAAACCAAGTACCTCGCAAACAGAAACGGCAGCGTTAGAGACGGCCTTGGCACAGGCTGAGGACAACCAAGATATTCCAACTGTTGCGGAGGGGGAGAATGAGGAGGTGGCTACCAAATATATCTACAAGTGTAATGTTTGTGGCAAAGAGTACAACAACAAGAGTAACTGTCACCGCCATCTCAAGTCACACACCCACGACAAAACGTATAAGTGTGATCACTGTGACAAAACTTACATGCATCGATACGAACTCAAAATGCACAGTCGCATTCACACAGGAGAAAAGCCATTCAAATGTGTAATCTGTACCAGGGCCTTCAACGAAAGTGGTAACCTCCGAAGGCACATGAAGATCCATGCTGGGGATGACACGCCCTATAAATGTGGCGTCTGCTTTAAGGGATTCACCGACTTGTATCGCCTCCATGTCCATCTTAAGGTCCACACTGGAGAGATTAAGTGTGACACATGTGGGAAAGTATTCGGTAAGATATCTGATCTGTACCGTCACATACGTATACACACTGGGGATAAACCATACAAGTGTGATCAGTGCCACAAAGCATTCTGTCAGAAAGTCAACTTACAGACACATTACCGCACACACACGGGCAAAAGTCCATTCCAGTGTGAACTTTGCCATTTCACCTTCAGTCGTAAACAAATCCTTGACAACCATATGAAGGTTCACGCCGAGATTGAAGAAGAGGGAAAATTGAAAACGGCTGGGGAGATCAAGAAGGAGGTGATTGACGAGGAACTTGAGGGTGCAGAAGTTCAGGAGGAGGAGGGCAGCAGTATGATGGAGGTCGTCGATTTGTCCGTAGATGAACAGACTGGACTGGTCGAGGTTCCAGTGGACTCACATGAGATGGAGACGGGACTTACACAGGAGGAACTCGCCCAGCTAGTTGCTGCTACTGTGACAGAATAATTCAGCACATACTAAACCCTGGTACGTGTATTCAATATGTACAATTAAGTCTGGTGTTTTCTCCAAGTCACATGGATTTGGAGAGAAGTTTTTCTGCACTTTGGGTTTGGAAATTTGAGACTTTTTAATAATACACATGACAATGTAAATTAGTGTCAGAGTTACTTCCCTTTTCACAAGCTGTTATTCAATTACCGTGCCACACATATGTACACCATATATGTACATTTCCAAGTTATTTACAATATTGATGGAACATCTGTACAATATTGAAAATATACTGTCTCAGTGCCTGCTTTCATGGCAGCCATATTGCTCAAAATTTCTGGTTAAAAATCTAGTACATACATGTACTCAAATATTAAACCTATAATATGCAATCATGACACAAGAAAAGTTTAATTCCATTTTAGTCATTTGATAGTAACTGTGTGACTGTCTGTTTTAAAAAAATTGGAATGTCCCAGAATACTTACCAATAAGTCTTCAAATGTTGAACATCCTATGTTAGGTATAAAACAAGAAAATATTGGTCTCAGCATGAATTAGATTTTTACATTCCGTTACCATATTACATGTTTTAATATAAGTCTTGTAATTTTCATTATCACAATTCAAGCCATGGATAGTTCACTGAATTGAAACATATTTGTCTGAAATTTGGTTTTTGTTCCATGAACCTTGACCCTTGACATGTCAAAGTTAAAATATTTTTGATCATAAACATCAGAAGTCAATGCAACAATACCTGTTCCCGACTATAGGTTATAAATTCTGCTTGATTACAATGATTATACATTTCATTTTGATTGCATTGTGTTATGATCATTAAAACAGTATTTTTGCATGTGAAAATCTGAGTCCAAGTCGTTAGTAAACATCTTTGAAGTTTTATGTATCAATATCTTGCCCTGTATACATTGTAAGAAAAGGGCACTTTATAAGAGTCTAGTGATATTGACAATTTATTATGGTGTAAAGATTAAAGTGAGAAGATGAAACTGGTGTTTCAGTATTTTCACACAATATACAATATCGAAGGATTTGGAAAAAGATCCCAAAGCTGTTAAACCTTTTTTTTTTTGCTCTACGAGGTTTGCCTGCCAAACAGAGTTGAGAATTAGCACAATACATTTATTTAGTGATTGTAATTCATATAAAAATCAGGCATAATACTCTTGTTCACCTATATAGCTGATCTGTATACTGTGTACCAGGAAATTGTTGCCACAGTTCAACTTTTGCATTTTCTGCCCTCTGTAATGAAGGCAATTTATCATGACAGCATATATTTATACACACCAGACCAAGCAATCTCATTACATGAAAAGAGCGAAATAACACTTGGCAAATATTTAATTTTACCAGTGAAGGGCAAAAGTTTGACTCGGCGAAAGTTTCATGGTATACAATAGCAATATTTGTAGGTCATTGATGTTGGAAGTTGAAATTGTTTGAAACTTTGTACATACTATATAGTTATAAATACTTGATATCGTTTCTTTAACTGTGTAAATATTTGTTAATTTTTTTTAATTTTTTTTTTATTGGCAAAATGTAGATATATGATTGTTACACATTATATGTATATAAGGAAGCGTTAAGATGATAAAACATATTTTGTCCTACGGAATGTACTGACAAACATTCAGTTTATGTATTAAAACAGATGTTAAATCCATATACCAATCATTGTTAATGTGCTAAGGTGAGTTCCCTGTTTATAAGAAAAACAACCTAACTTCTAATTTAATGGTATGTTTAATTTTACAGCTTTGTATAATTACATAATTAATAATCCAGACCTGTCTCCACTACACATTTCACTAATTCTATACCTAGAAGTACCTGTGTTTGACTACACTATATTTTTAAACATAGAAGAATGACGAAGAGAACACTATTTGGGTTACATAGGTAGATGTTTACTGGGTTATATGTTTCGGCCTGCTAGGGAATCTGTCATCAGAATAATGGTAGTGTAACGGGAGAAAGAGAAATGTACGACAAAATTGGAATTCAAACCCAGGACCTTCCGAACTCTTAGGCGGACGCTCAACCAAATGAGCTATCTGGTCATCTTATTAGTCAAGTTCTGCTACAGTAGTATTGAAAAAGTCTCAGCGAAGTAAGGATCCCGGTCGTCATATAGTTGGCTATTCGCTTGAAATTAGTTTTAATTTTTGTGTACATTTAATTTACTGAGGTAACTTATTACCTTACTATAACAGATATTCCAAAATATGTCCTGATCAGTTATTTGCATAAAACATCACCAATAGAACCATTTTTTCTGTTCACACATTCTACCATAATGACATTTTTTTTTTCTGTTTGTGTACAATGTAGTTAAATGACATGATACTCATAGAAAAATGTTGATATGCAAAACTTGTTGATAAAATAGACCATTGTTTGTAGAAAATGTTGTTTTGTCTAGTTAAGGGTTGAATTGTTTTGAAGTGTGTTGAGCTTTTCTGTTTATTTGTGAGTAAATTGAATGAATGTATTGGATATTTTTTTTCTGATGGCTATAGTATCTAAATGAGTTAACATGATTGTTGCTACATATCTTGCCAAACAGACCCCTTCATTAAGTATGCAAGCATGTATACATTTAAACTTGGTTGTAGCATATTCCATGAGTTAAACCTAATTAACCATTTACAGTGCCATTCTTTTCAAAAGTTGGCTCCTAAATACAAGCAGACCTGGCAGCAGTGTATTGAATTGTAATTACAATGTAGTAAAGGAAAATAACATATTTCTTTAAAATAATTGAGGTCCCCATTTAAATGTTTCCTTCAATTTAATGACAAGGAGGTGGTATCAATGCAAGTACCATGATATTATGATGATCAACAATGAAAAAAAGCTTATTTTGATAAAAATGTACAAAGCACATGGGGTTTGTATCCTTATACAAGTTTATCATTTCAGACAAGAGTGAACTAGAATTTAATCTGATTTCTGCCCTTAAAGTAACTGCATGTTATTAATTTCATGCATGCAAAGATTAGTGAAAGGGTCTGTTAGGATGGACTACATTACCAGTTCTACTGGACATGTACATTTATTGGTTCGAAAATGGGAAAATATTTCAGTAATTTTAGATAGCATTTCAGTTATATGACTGATCATATCAATAAGGTCATAAGGTAATAAATAATTTACTTATTACTGTACAGCAATTGCAACAATATACAATCGATTTTATTGTGAACTTTAAAACTGTTGTGTTGCTCTATTGGCTGGGTAAGGGGAGATAATTGAAATTATTTCTGCATTCATATATAGAAATTTCATTCAAAGTTAATTTCAGACATGCATGGTTTGTTGGTTATCTACAATTATTTTTCTTTGCAATAAGTCAGTTATTGAGATTGACTTAAGCCTGTTTATGTAATATATGCTTCATGTTTTCAAAAGTTAAAGAATGTCTAATTGCACTAGAATGAAGTGTTACAGTGCACACTAGTCGTCACCAATAAAACAATAGAAGTAGGTATACAGTTATCAGCTGTTTTTCTCCTGATAGTTAATATCAAACTTTCTTTTGCTATGTTCAGTAATAAAGTAATTGTTATTTTTCCAAAATACTGTCTTTTTTTTTATTATTCTTACTGTGATCGCTAATCTCAAAAGTGGAATTGTACTGGTTTGAAAGTACAGAGTTGATATGGTTTGTATGTACAGATAGTTGCCTGATTTGAAGGTACTGTTTTATACAACCTGAATCCTCTTGCTACAAAGTTTGTTAAAATTAATGACCTTCACCTATTTTGAAGGTCACAGGGGTCAAATATGTTAAAAACTTTTAAACAACTTTTTCTGAATAACCAAAATGCCAAGGGGGATGATATTTGGCCAGTAGCAAGCTGAGATGAAGGGCTACAAAGTTTGTTCAAATGAATGACCTTAAATTATATTCTAGGTCACAGGGGTCAATTGTCTTAAAAAACCTTTAAACAACTTTTTCTGAATAACCAAAATGCCAAGGGGGATGATATTTGGCCAGTAGCAAGCTGAGATGAAGGGCTACAAAGTTTGTTCAAATAAATGACCTTCACCCATATTCAAGGTCACAGGGGTCAAATATGTTAAAAACTTAAAACAACTTCTTCTGAATAACCAAAATGCCAAGGGGGATGATATTTTGCCAGTAGTATGCTGAGATGAAGGGCTACAAAGTTTGTTCAAATGAATAACCTTCACGCATATTCAAGGTCACAGGGGTGAAATGTTTAAAAAAAACTTTTAACAACTTTTTCTCGATAACCAAAATGCCCAGGGTAATGATATTTGGCCAGTAGCATGCTGAGATAAAGGGCTACAAAGTTTGTTCAAATAAATGACCTTCACCCATATTCAAGGTCACAGGGGTCAAATATGTTAAAAACTTAAAACAACTTCTTCTGAATAACCAAAATGCCCTGGGTGATGATATTTGGCCAGTAGCATGCTGGGGTAAAGGGCTATCAAGATTGTTAAAATGAATGAACTTCACCTATATTCAAGGTCACAGGGGTCAAATATGAGAAAAATATTTAAACAACCTCTTATGAATAACCATGGGTCCCAGGATGTTTATACTTTGCAAGTTGCATCCCAAGATGAAAAGCTATACAATGTGTTCAACATAATGACTTTGTTCGACTTTCAATCACAGGGTTGAAATGTTTAAAAAAAAAAATAACGGTCTTTTGAATGAATTTTAACCATAAATACTGATATTTTGCCTGTAGCTTTATTTTAGATCACTTTTAAGGTTACAAGTGGGAGTTTTATACCAGGTGAGCGATGCAGGCCCATTGGGCCTCTTGTTTTTATTGAGATTATGTCATTTAAAGGTTTATACATATTTGACCAAATGTGACCCTGAAAGTGGGACAAGGACATTCAAATGAAAAACCTTGATAGCCTGTCATACAAGCATGCTACTGGCCAAATATCAACATTCTGGACCTCATATGGTTATTCAGAATAAGTCGTTTTAAACATATTTGACCCCTGTGACCTTGAATTTAAGTCAAAGTCATTCTTTTTAACAAATTTGGTATTGTAGCCTTCATCCTAGCATGCTACTGGCCAGATATCAACATTCTGGTCCTTATGGTAATTCAAAAGTCGTTTAAAGATTGTGAAAATATTTGATCCCTGTGACCTTGAATAAAGGTCAAGGTTATTCATTTTAACAAACTTGGTAGAACTTCATGCCAGTATATACTGCCTAAATACCACCATCCTGGGCCTTTTTGATTTTCAGAAAAAAGGCCTTTTCAAGATTTTAAACATATTTGACCCCTGTGATCTTGAAATATAAGCCAATGTCATTCATTTCAACAAACTTGGTAGCCCTTCATCCAAGCATGCTTTTGGTCAGATATCAACATTCTGGGACTCTTGGTTATTCAGAAGTTGTTTAAAAGGTTTTAAACATTTTTGAGTCTATGACCTTCAATATAGGTCAAGGTCATCAATTCGAATAAAAGTGGTAGCCCTTCATGCCAGTTTGTTTCTGGCCAAATATCATCACCCTGGACTGCTTGGTCATTCAGAAGAAGTTGATTAAAGGGTTTTCAAACCAATTGACCCCTGTGACCTTGAATGAGTGAATGTCATTCATTTGAACAAACTTGGTAGCTTTTTATTCCAATATTCTACTGGCCAAAAATCATCACCCTGGGCATTTTGGTTGTTCAGAAGAAGTTGTTTAAATGTTTTTCAAGACAATTGACCCCTGTGACCTTGAATACATGCGAAGGTCATTCCTTTGAACAAATTTGGAAGCCCTTCATCCTAGCATCCTACTGGCCAAATATCATCACCCTGGACATTTTGGTTAATCAGAAGAAACTTAGTTTTTATTAGCTCACCTGGTCCGAAGGACCAAGGTATGCTCATGAGATACAGTGGCGTCTGTCGTCTGTACGTCAACAATTTCTTTGAATGACTTCTTCTTCTAAACCACTGATTGGAATTTGACTAAATTTGACTGGAAGCATCCCTAGGTGGTGGGGATTTAAAATTGTACAAATGGTGGGGCTGACCCCCATGGGGGCTGAGGGGCTGGGCCAAAAGGGGCAATTTGGCTATATTGCTTTAAGTAACTTCTTCTCTGGAACTAAGGGATGGATATCAACCATATTTGACTGGAAGCATCCCTAGGTGGTGGGAATCCAAATTGTACAAATGGTGGAGCTGACCTCCCAGGGGGCTGAGGGGCGGGGCCAAAAGGGGGCAATTTGGCTATATTGCTACAAACGACTTCTTCTGTAGAACTGTGCCATGGATATCGACCATATTTGGTCGGAAGCATTCATGGTATGTAGGCATTCAAAATTGTACAAATTTTGTAGCTGACCCCCGGGCTAAGGGGTGGGGCCAAAAAAAGTTTATTACTTGGAAATGGTTGAGATCCCCACCGTATAACCATACAATTGCTGAGTATAAAGAGAAGAATGCACAGTTGCTTCCAGGATGGCCCTAAGGTCTGGCCCCACCCTTGGTCATAACTTAGAAACGGTTGAGATCCCCTCCCCAAAACTATATATACAAATGCTGGGCATAAAGAGACGAATGCAGTCATGATATTAGAATAGACCCTGGGGTCTGACCACAACCTATGGACCTAGTTTCTGAGTCACAGCTTGGGAACAGTTGAGATTCCCACCCCATAACCATACATAAAATTGCTGGGCATGAAAAATTTATACAGATATGCTACAAGAATTGGCCTTGGGGTCTGGCATATTCCCTTGGATCTCACTTGGAGAATATTTTGCCATGATTGCTTAGATATCCAGGTGAGCGATACAGGCCCTCTGGGCCTCTTGTTACATATTTGACTCCTATGACTTTGAATATGGATGAAGGTCATTTATTTGAACAAACTTGGTAGCCCTTCATTCCAGTTTGCTTCTGGCCAGATACCATCACCTAGGCATCTTGGTTTCCCTGATGAGCACTGTTGAATACCATTAAGGTATCCACCCCAGGATCCCTACCACCACTATGGAACTGACTTCCTTGCAGGGACGTTGGGTCTCCACCCCCCAGTTGTCTACCATTATGATTAATAACATCACATTAAATCTCCTTGCTTAAGATAACTGATTACCATTATTAGTCAAAATATGCTTAGCAGTTTCAAAAGAGCTTGAACTTGATGGGGAAAAATTTGACGGACAGATGGCAGACTTTGTGTCACAAGTGACGACATATAAGCTCATTTGACATTTTAAGATAAAGATAAAAAAACAAGATTTGAGTGATAATGAATTATTTATTTCCCACAAAGGGCTAAGTGTATGGTGTTGCCCTCATCTACACATACAGTGATATATCTAAATGATATTATGTATGGTTACTATATGATCATACAACGTTTTGTTATTGTACAGTATGATCATTATATACTTAATGTATGGTTACTTACAGTAATTACAGGTAATATCATATAACACACAGGTATGAGCACATGTATATAATACATTTAATATGTAAAAATGGGAATGATTTATTATTTTGCAAATTATCACAAAATAATACAAATCACAGCTTAAGCTTGCTGGCAACGCATCAACACTAGATCTATCACACAATCACACTACTGGTGTATTACTTATGTTTTAATGCTTCCCTGTCAGAGCTCAATACTTAAAACTCTTTATTCTGTGACAGTATACAATATTATTGTATCTTTTCCACATTCAGATCTATTTTTACTTGGCTTACAAGAAAAAACATTGAAAGTGACCAAAATTTCAACATTTTAATCGGTACTGTACCATATAAAGTACCATACTTCATAAAAATATCTGGTTAATTCTTCAATAATTTTTTTTATTTTCTTTTTTGAAAAAGAATCATCATAGTTCAATATTACAAAATCAAAACTTAATATCGATAAACTTAATGATATTCTAACACCATACAGGTATATATGCAAGGAGATCTGCAAAAGTACTATACTATTTACATTTCTAAGTAGCTACATTTTTTATGTATTTTCTTCAAAATAAATTTCTAACTCACTTCTTAATTACATCAGGGGGTTATAAAATTAACAAAAAGTGTTAAATACTCAAAATTGCACGAAACACAATCACTGGATGTTTTTCATTAAACATAAAATTAATGCACACACAATTATATACTAAACAAATACAATAGTAATCTTTTCAAGATACATGAAAGTTCTAGAACCTAAAAATCTTTTATAAAGATCGTCAAACAATGCCAACATTCTAAAAACAGATAATAAGAGCAATATTGACTCTGACCCATTTGATGTGGATGTTATTAAAAAAAAAACACACTTGTAAAAAAAATGAGTTATCTTTTGAAAATAATTAACTATTAAAGCAAAATGTCTGTCATTGACCCAAAGGGCAGTTACATAACTACCTGGTATTATTGTATACTGTATATATATGGTCCCAATAATTAGGTTAAACTTTGTGGTAACATATTATGAAGAATATTTTTCTTGGAAAATTATACAAACTCAAGTTGTTTTGTTTTTTTATACAAAATGATGAAAAAAAATCTTGAAATTTTGTGATGGCTTCTAGAAATTATTTGCATGAATTTAT